TGGAGCAGAGAACATGGAGTGAGAGGGGTTTGGAGAGGTCAGCAGCCAGATCATTCGGGCCCTTGTAAGGCAGATTTAGGGCTCTGGCCTTTATCCTAAGGCCCATGGGAGTCACTGAAGGTTTTCAGCAGGGCAGTGGTAATGAGGTTCTGGGTTGCGCCCTCTGGTGGCTCTGTGGGGGAATGGCGCCATTGAGAAGCACCGGGGCTTGGTCCCTGGGGCTTGGCTCTAAGTCTTCCTGCAGTCCCTGTAGCTGCGGTCCTTCAGAGACTGCCCTGCCCATTAATGCTGGGTAGACACAGCTCACAGGGGCTGGCCTCTCAGCAAAGACAATAACAAAGTCTCCAGCCTGCTGCAGACATCTGAGGAGGCGTGCCACCAAGCATGTGCTCCAAGAGACACCAGACGGGCAGGTCAGCGTCGCGCTGAGCAGACCCAGACAGCAAGAGGCCTGGCCAGCCTGGGATTTCCCCAACGGCTGCCTGGTTTGGCCCTGACTTCAGAAATCAAGGCGGTGGGGTGGGACCTGGTTACCTGCCCTTGGCAATCCTGGAGGACCCTTCAATCTCAGACCTTAGGAGGATGAGTGGGTTTGCTGGTCAGACAGACAGACTGACAGACAGACAGACAGTCCTCATCCTCCTCATTTCAGAAGGGAGATAAACCCCTACCAGCAGATGCCACCCAGACCCCCTCAGCCACTGTGGCCTGTTTTTCTTTGAAACTGCTTAATGCTAATCACGAATCGCAAGTGAGTCACCCGTCATGGCTTGGGCATTTCCTCAAAGTACAGTCAGTCTGCCAGCAAGAAACTTTTATCAGCCCTACTCCTTCATTTTTGTCTTCTTCATTTCAGGCAGGATGAATTGAGGGCAGAAAGGACAGATTTTTTTTCTTCTTCATTTTTAAGTTGGAATTGACTCGATAGAAAAGGGTTTGGTCTGGTTTTTTTAAATATACATGCCCAGTGAAACAAACAGTGCAGGAGGGGTGGTGGGAAAAACGGGGTCTTCCTGTCTCCCTGGACCCGTTCCTCTCCCTGTTTTCCATCTCTTTTGTCTTCCCAGGGAGACCAGGCACATAGCAGCAGGTAGTTATCCCCTGATTTCTACAGAAATCTTTGCTCCTGTGAACATGCTCTGCTCCTCGCTGGCTGCGACTTCTATAAGAGTAGATTGTCCTGAAATAGCTCAGTGCCTTTCCTTGGGGTCCCCCAACCAGAACCCCTTCTGCTCTCAGAACCAGGCCACAATATGAGGCTTATTGTTCAGGGAAGAGGAAAATGGATACAAAGTGGTCAACAGTTAGTTTTGAGTATCAGCACAATGGTTTGAGGTTTTATGAGGCCTTGGTGAGACCATGGTTTTGGAAGCCAGGCTTTCAAGGGGACGAATATTTCCCAAGTCCCAGGGCTGGTGTTTTCTCATGAAGAGTCGAGCATGGAGCACTGACTTCTGCATGCATCAGATAGTGGGCAAGGATGCAAGATGCAACCCAAGCTGGAGAGACCAAAGCTGGACTCCATCCAGCCCTGCACCCCTCCAGGTGGGGAGGTGGAAGTCCCAGGAGGCCAGGGGACCAGCAGGAGGCCTTTTTTCATTCCCCCCGGCTGGCAGAGACCCTCACTCTGGCCCATGTACTCATCAGGCCCAGCCAGGAAGGAGAAGCCACACCGAGCACTTCCAACAGAGGGAACTGAATGCAGGGAATTGGTCATGCAGGTGACGTAACAGTTGGGAAAGGGAGTCGTGAGGTAACCTGCCTCCAATTCTAGAACTGAAGGGACGAAAGAAGGAGGTGCAGCACTGGAGGCTGAGAGCCGGGGTCAGTCATTCTCTATATTAACCAGGAGGCCTGGCCAGAGGGAGCTGGAGGCATGGAGGAGACCAAACCAAACCAAACCCATTGCTGTTGAGTCAATTCTGACTCATAGCGATCCTATAGGACAGAGTAGAACTGCCCCCATAGGGTTTCCAAGGCTGTAATCTTTACCGAAGCAAACTGTCACATCTTTTTCCCACGGAGCGGCTGATGGATTTGAACCACCGACCTTTTGGTTAGCAGCCAAGTGCTTTAACCACTGCATCACCCAGGGCTCCTTTGGAGAAGACCAGCAACTGCCAAAGATGCTGCCATAAGAGAGGCAGAGAACGCGCTAGCTTGTCTTCAGTGCCACCCGTTGGTTTCACTCGACTGATCCAGGCCTGGGGAGCACAGCTGTTGGAGAAGGACTCTAGCCAGGCTGTGCAGAGACCAGGTAAGGAACAAGAATTCCATCCTAAGTGCAGTTGGAAGCTGCATTTATCTGATAGAGTGCTTGTAGCTGCAAGTAACAGAAGTCCCAAACCATTGGCTTCCACCGTTAGGAAATTTGTATCTTACGTAATAAGACACACAGGAGGGACAGACTGCTGATAAACACTACTCTGGGACTCTCTGGGCTCCACCCTCTTTTGTGGGTTGGCTTCTTCTTCAGGCTGGTAACAAGATGGCAGCAGCAATTCCAGGCTCCCCCAGAAGCACAGGAACCTTTCCCACAAAGCCCCAGCAGACTCCCTTCTCATCCCATTGGCTGGAGTTGGGTCAAATGGCCAGTCCTAAGGCAACCACAAGCAAAGGCACAGATTCCCAGAGCTGGATAGAATTTATCAGGCTCTGCCCCTGTGTCTGGAAGTGGGGTTGCATGGGGGAGGGGCTGAACAAGATAGGGGGAGGAGAGAGGAAAGAATACTGTTTGGTACCCATAGGGCCCACCATAGAAAGTGTGTGGAGAGTGGAGCGGTGGAGGTAAGAGCAGAAGCGGGTAAAAAACACTTTTGTTAGTCTAGGCAAGAATGGATGGCTCCTAGATATTTGGGGGAAGAAAGGACAAGACTCAGATGAGGTGCTGAGAGGGGGAGGAGGCAAGGAGGAATCCCCAGCTTCTGCCTGAGCCACTGCACGGTTGGTAGACCATTCACTGAGACAGGGAGGGGGGTGGCCAGGGTAAGAGCCAGGGACTCAGGCAGTCCAGATGGGATGTCTGAGATGCCCCAGTAGAAATGTGAAGTAGTTAGTGGTATGTGGGGTCTTCTCAGGGTGGCTTGTTAGAAACGCCCACTTACCCTAACACGGAGCTGCAGCTTCTCTTCCTGAAGGTCCCGCCTGAAGGCCCTGGCGGTACCCCATGGAGCTGTCCCACATCTGCTCCCCAGGCCCTGTGACAAGCACTGCTCCTGTATGCTCCCTGCCTCAGACTCCTCATCTGTGAAATGGGGGTAGTAACATTGCACACGTCTGGGAGTGGTGGTGAGGATTCAAGGAGGTAACGCCTGTGAATGCTGAGCACCGGCCCCAGCACAGAGCAAGTTAGGGAGCAGGAAGCAACTGCTCTCCTTGCTATCAAGCGTTTGCTTCCTTCTCCTTGGTAAGGCAGGGACGTGTCTTTCTCGTCCCTGCCACTTTATCACCAGCACAAAGGTGACTTAGTGAACTTACTATGCATTGAATGAATGAATGAATGAATATGGAGAATGAGTGTTGCTGCAGTTGGCTGGAAAGAATAATGGATTTAAGGTGGGGAGACCCCAATTAAAACCCCAGCTGTGCCACTTATTGGCTGTTGTAGGAAAAGCAGCAAACCAAACTTACACTCTGTTAGAAGTGAAAATAAGGAGTTTTATTGAGGGATAAAGCAACTGCAGTTGCGGTAGAATAAAACAACTGCAGTTGGGATAGCACAAGGAAGTATTCCCAAGTCTGAAAGGAGAAAGGGATTTTTATAGGAAGGGCTGGGGGTTACACAAGAATCATAAGCAAACCTTACACAATGTTGGTTACACAAACTTTGCATAAGCAATTTCTGAGAACAATTTTGCAGAGACATCTTTTCTGGGGGTATATTTCTGTCATTTTCTTTCCGGAACATTCTTATCACTTGTTTAACCATAAACTATAACTTCATCAGACATCAGTTACAAACATTGTTTCTGAGGACAGAATATTTTTATGAATCATAAGTAAGCATACTCACACATTTGCACATATTCTGAATGCAGAAGCAGGGAATTAGGGCAAAGGGAGTTTAATTCCTACCTGTGTCAGTCATTTAGTCATGCCAGGTGTCTCGGTTTTAAGGTACCCTTACACACGGCAGACTGACTGTGAACAAGCCCCTTGCCCACTCTCACCTCAGTTTCCTTATCAGGGAAGTCAGAAGTGAGAATTGCATGGTGACATCTGTCCTCAGAAACCTGCTTGAAATCCAAAACCAGATGTGCTTCCTCCAGGCAAAGGCATCAGGCTGAGCTCATTTGAAAACAGTGATTTTCTGGTTGAATCAAAGTCAAAGCATGCTTGGTACTGGGCAAATGGAATGTGTCTGCACTGTGTTAGCATAAAACACACTAATGTACATGTGTAGCGCAGGCTTAGTGCCCGAGCACTAGCTTGAAGGCGATGATGAACCCTTGAGAAATTTAAGTTGGGATGGCGTAAAAATATTAGGTCCTTTTCAAGATGAGATCTATAAAACCCTTTCCAAGTTGATAATATGTCCTAAACCAGGTTCATTTTGCCTATGTACCAGTACACCCTAGTCCTGTTTGGTTCGGAGAGGGAAAACAAACAGAACAAAATAAACATCAAGCAACAACAACCCTGTTCTCTGAGCACTTGAAGTCTGATGTGCTCTCATGCAAGAAGCTCTGCGTGGTTTTGGATTTCAAGCAGGTTTGTGGGAGAAGACAAGGGCCTGGTCCATGGAAATTTCCTAGTAAGATTTATTTTGAAGCAAAGGTTTGGCAGACCCAGCCTCGTCTCCTTGGCTAGACAGTGCCTCTTTGAAGAGAGTCAAACACAGTGGAGGGGTGGGAAAGGGTGCTTGAATAAGCTGGTTTTACTGGGCTCCTCTTCTTCCAAAAGCCTGCCAAAGACCAGCCCAGGTAACCCTTGCTTCATGGAATTTAACTCAACTCACTTGTGTTTGGCACAATACCTGCCCACCAAGATGTCCACGTCCCAACCCCTGGAACCTGTGGATATGCTACCTGACATGCAAAGGGGACTCTGCAGGTGTGATTAAGGTAAGGATCTTGAGAGGGGAGATGATCCTGGATTGCCCAAGTGGGCTCAGTGTAATCACAAGAATCCTCAAAAGTGGAGAGCCTTTCCCAGCTGGGTCAGAAAGAGATGTGTAGACAGAAGTAGAGTCAGAGAGATGGCAGTATGAGAAGGACTTGGCCTGCCACTGCTGGCTTTGAAGATGGAGGAAGGGGCCACGAGCCAAGAAATGCTGGCAGCTCTACAATCTGAAAAGGCAGGGAAATGGATTCTCCTCTAGAGCCTCCAGAAAGGAACCAGCCCTGCCAACACCTTAATTTTAGCCCAGTGAGACCCATGCTGGACTTCTGACTTCCAGCACTGTGGGAGAATAACTTTGTGTTGGTTAAGATCCTGAGTTTGTGGTCATTTGTTACAGCAGCAAGAGAAAGCTGACACATCACCTTTCTTGAGCTCCTACTATGCGCCTGTTCTTGAGATGTAATCCCTAATTCTCTTGACCACCTGTGAGATCGGGCTTGTCATCCCCATTTTACAGATGAGAAAACTGAGGCCCAGTGAGATGAAGACATCCTGTGAGAGCCAGGGCAGGGATAGGAATCTGGGCGACTCCAAGCCGTCCTCAGCCATCACTGATCAGGTAAGGGGAGCGTGTAACAACAGCATCTCAGGGCTGAGGAGAGGGTTGAAGGAAAGTTGTGTATAATGTCCTGGAGCACACTGGGTGTTCCCTCGATGTCAGTTTTCCCCCTTTTTCCCCAAAACTTCAGGTGTCAAAACTCAGATCTGGCTGCTAAGTGGATATATTGTCAACCTTTGTGCCCTTGGGCAAAAAAAGCTCCCCTAACAGACTCCCTCTTGGGGAGTAAGGGGATGAGAAGCTCCCACTGGCAGGAAAGGCCTGGCTGTGAGTCAGGACCTCACTTGGCCTCACTTGTCGACACTGCCCCCTTCGCTGTGTGGCCTCCTTGGTAAGGCACCTCTCTGGAAAATGCATAGGTTGCTCTCAAGTGCTCCGCAGCACTAGCTTCCCGGGCCAGTGAATCAACGCTGGCCCCTGCCCAGAGTCCTGAGGACCGGTCAGGGCTGGCTGCATGGTCCAGCGGCCCCTGATAAGGTAACCCCGGAAGCCCTTCCTGCCATCACACTCCACAAGGCCAAGCTGGGATTTCTCCTCTGCTGTGAGTCCTTGCGCTTGCTGCCCTACTTGGCTGGGCCTGGCTCCGGGACTGGGTTGGGGCTTGGAGCTCCTTCCCCTGGGAGAAGCCCAGGTCATGGCCCAGCCCTGGCCTGGCACAAAAGCGATGTGTTCCAGGCTGGCTTGCAACAGGGCAGCTGGCTGACCTGGGGCCAGCTGCTCCTTGGAAGAGAAGTGTGCAGAATTGACGGCTACAATGGACAGTAAGATGGCCCAGGGATCCCCCACAGCCCCCCGCGATCCCCTACGGGCCAGGGTAGTCTTCCCCTGGCTCAGCCTTGTGTACACTTCGCTAGCAGCATGGGGAGGGCAGTGGGGGGTGCCCCACATTGACGGCCACTGACCGCTGGGACCCATTTCCCAGTAGCCAAGGGGCCGTCAAGGCTGAACCTATTCAAACTTACCCAAAGCAGGTCCATCTTCGTGCAGTTTCTTGTCAATAAAGACACACTGAGGTGAGGAGGGAGGAAGAGCGTTTATTGGAGGCACACAGGCAAGGAGCAAGGAGGTGTATACCTCAAATCAAGCTCCCCAAACAAACGGAGGCAGAACCTCTTAGACCGTTTCTCACAAGAAAGTACACACAAACGTTATGGACTGCATAGGCTATCATGGTGCACAGGTGCAGTAAGACAAATTGCATTTTTTTCTTTGGCTTGTAGGCTAGTAAACTGGGTTTGACTGGCTTGAGCCACACGCAGGGCTTTGAGGACAATGGATAGGAGGGGTCAGGTTCCGCTTGGTTTGAGCAGCTGCTAACTGAGCCATACCCAGCACTATCACCTAAGGTTTTGTTTGATAATGGCTAGGCAACTCCTGGCTGCTGTGGCTATCAAAACAAAGGACAGTCCTATATTCACAACGTGTCCTTCCTTCACTGTATGGGCTTGAGCTGCCCTCTTATGAAGGAACAGTGGTCACACACAGCCATGGGGCTTTATCTGTGAATTCTTTGTTAGTTCTCTAAATTGTCTTCTGAAATCTTATGAAATTCAGAGACCTGACTATGGCAGGGTTGTGGGACATGGGCTTTCGAACCTGGGTTCCCTGTGTGACTTTGGGCAGGGGCTTAAATCCCTCAGAGTCTCTGAGCTGTCCCTAGGTTTGGAGTGAGGGTAACTCTTGATCAATTGTCAGGTCCGTATAAATGGGCTCGCCCCACAGTCTGTCCTTCCTGCCTCCCCTCTATCCATCCTTTGAACCTATATCAAGCTCTGACTGGTGCACACAACTGTATATAGGTTCTTAGATACATGCATACATGCGTAGGTAGGTAGGTAAGTAGGTAGGTAGACAGACAGATAGCAAACAAAGTTCTTCCTTATACTTACTCTCCAGAAGCTTAAGAATCTACCTGAGGACTTTGCTGTTGACTACATGTTCCTTGCCTTTCCCACTGGTACTGGATCAGGCAGGACTCCTGGGGTTGTTAGTGACAGAAACTCAAGCCAGAGGAGACTTCAAAGCAAAAGGAACTCTGGGAGCTACAGGACCGTAACCAGGAACTTCAATGCCACGATATCTCTTACTCTCTCTCCATCTGTCCCTGTCTTGACTGCTCTGTGGGGGCCTCATTTCCTCTTAGAGTGGACAGGTTTCTTCTTAGTGGCAGGATACACGGTGAGGCAGCCCCAGGCTTAAGTCCTCCCAGCCTGATGAAAAAAAAGAGTCTCTCTACCTGATTCTGGATACAAACACCTCAGGGAAGGGCTTGATTGGTTAGGCTTGGTCACATGTGTACTCCTTGAACCTACCATGATGGCTATGGGGAGGGAGCCCTGAGTGAGCATGTGACCGAGGACTGGCCAATCATGGGATTCCCACCCTGTAGCCGCGGTGATAGGTTCAAGGAGTACGCATGTTCCTCGTTAAAGCCATTGAGCTATCCTCATGCCTGGGAGAAACATGGAAGTGATATGCCTATTTACAGATGGGAAAACTGAGACTCTGAGAGTTACACACCTTGTCCAATATCCCCCAGCAAGGGAAAGAATGGCCTAATTCACAACTGCAACTTCTGCTGCCCAGTTTAGCTGGTTCCATGGAAGAAGATCAGCCTTCTTGTTGCCCAAATGTTGGACCAAGGCCTTTGATTTCCCAGCAAAAGGGAGAGGTCCACAAGAAACCTCGGAGCTAAAATTAAGACCATTCACTGTGGCTCTGTTACCTGGTTTGTGGTGAGCTCAACTCTAAGGTACCACGGGCTGGCAGTGGCTTTGGCCAAGGCAACATGGCTATTTTCATGAGCATAAACTACCCTCAGCCTGTTGAAACAGGAACAAGGTCCAGGTTGAGGTTGAGCCCAGCAGGTCAGCCCAGCCGGGATGTGCTGAAGCCACCAGAAGAAGCCACATAAGTCTCCCCACCCAAGAGACCTCTTCTGCATTGTGTAGACCCTGTTCCTGCTGGCAGTACCACAGACAGTGCCTCCTCCCAGGAAGGGGTCAGACCAGGAACCGCCATCCCCAGGCCTCCCTAGAACACTCCAGGCACCACGCCTGCTGCCATGAAAGCCCCGTGGGGATCACGTGTGTGCAAGTTCCTGCTTCTGCAGAGCTGCCAGGGGCTAGGAAGGCACTGGCCACCCATGACCATCTGAGAAGTGCAGCCACCTTCGAGCCCGTGGAAGCAGACGCTGAGTCCCCTAGAGGAGGAATGACTTGCTGAAGGTCCCCCAATATATTTCCAGGCCATACATAGTGACAGTGGGGCAGGCAGTGTGTGTCCTGAGGACAGGCCTCCTTGTTCTCTACTCTGCAGGATATGCAGGGGGTTTGAATGTAGTGTAGGGTCCCTGGAGGCAGGACTGCTGGGAGATGACGGGGGTAGGGTGGGGGTTAAGCTGAGGTCAGCGGATAAAGGGCTTTTCTTTTTTTTTTTTTTAATAATATTTTATTGTGTTTTCAGTGAAAGATTACACAGCAAATTAGGTTCCCATTTGACAATTTCTACACAAATTGTGCAATGACATTAGTTACAATTTTCACAACGTGTCAATGTTCTCTTTAATTGCATTCTGGTTGTTCCATTTCCAGTACTCTAGTTTTTCTGCCCCCTTGTCTTCTCATCTTTGCTTTAGAGTAATTGTTGACCTTTTGGTCTCATATAGATGGTTTTTTAATGGAGCACCATAATCACTGGTAATATCCTTTATTATGTGTGCCAATCTGTTATTTCTCTAAAAGGTGACCTCAGGGGATAGTTTCAGTTCAAGGTTTAAAGAGTATCTCAGGGTGTGGATAAAGAGCTTTGTGGACCATTTTCGGAGTTAGAACATTCTTCTGTAAACATGAGAGGATGGTAGCCCAGGGCGTCAGAGAGTCAAGTCTAAGTCGTCAGCCACTTTAGACAAACAGTTCCTCCACTCCACTCCAGATCACACTTCCAAAGATGACGTATGGCAACTAGCTGGCTCTTACCATCCATGGCATCACCATCATCCCAGTGTCTCAGGCTAGAAGCCTAGCTAGGAGTCACTCTTGATGCTCCATTTTCTCACTTCTCACATTAAAGCCCTGGGATCGCCTGTCAGCTCTACCTTCAAAATACCGTCGATTCGTATTACTCACCTATTCCGTATTTGCGAATTTGACTATTCCCTAAAATTTATTTCTCACGCCAAAATCAACACTTTCACGGTCATTTGTGGACATGTGCAGAGTGGTGAAATATTTGAGTCACCCAGTGCGCACATTCCCAGCTAAGGTGGAACAGGGCCATGCTCTGCCTTCTCTTCTTGTTTTAGCTCTCAAATTGTAAACAAATGTCTTTTTTGTGGTCTACTCCGTGCCACATTTTTTTTTTTTTGGCATTTTTGTTGGTGATTTTGCTGTTAAAAGTGGCCCCCGAGTGCAGTGCTGAGGTACTATCTAGTGTTCCTAAGCTGTCGTGTGCCCTACTGAGAAAATACGAGTGTTAGATGAGCTTTGTTCAGGCATGAGTTACAGTACTGTTGGCCCTAAGTTCAATGTTAACCAATCAACAATTCAGCAAGCATTTGGCGAGAAGGAGAATGTTCAGTTCTGTGGTCAATGGCAGGAAGGGTTAGGAAACCTCGTTCTGACAAACTTATTCTAGAACTTTGCCCAACCCCCTTCCTGTTCTAGACCTCAGTTTCCCATCTGTAAAATAAATAAGAAGGCTGAACCAGAGTAATTCCTTATAGGGTGTTCCCTGGAGCGTCACCCCATGAGATGTTGAACCAACAAAAGGATCAGTGGCCAAATACAGTGCAGAAACACTACAACTGCCTTGTGGAGACTGGCAGTGCCCATTTAGGTAGCAAAGGCTCTGAGAAGTCCTGCAGGGAAAAAGAATGTTCCATTTTCCAAGTTTATTTGATCATGAAAACGTCTATTCCCATCAACCCATTAACTTCCCATGGAATATACTTTGGGAAATGTTGGACTACAAAATTCCTAATGTTCCCTCCAGATTGAAAATTCTGTGGCTCTATGAGTTGGAAGTCAAACCATGAAATTAACAGATATGTGTATATAAATAGCTTCTATTTTTAATAGCCAAAATGCTCTTCCATTTTTGGGAAGCACAATCAGTTCAAGGAAGAACAACTACTATAGCTGGTGAATCGCACATGAACCACATTGACCACATAGGTACCTTAATCTGAGGTCAATCAGTGAAAACAACTATATCAAATATGACTATTTCCTTAGTCTATATTCCTAGAAGTGGAGCTGCTGAGTGAAAGGCTTTGCATTTTCAAGGTATTTGATTCATCATGCCAAATTTTCCTCCAGAACATTGTACAGATTTAAACTTCCACTAACAAAGACTAATAATGTGCCCATTTCCACGCATCCATGCCAACACCGTGTATTATCATTTTTTATATCCCTAAACTATCCTGTGCTTTTAACCACAAAGGTTAATAACAGTTTTTATTGAGTTATCTGAGTTTCCATTAAATTGTGTCCAGAGCAGCCTCACCACTAGCCCACTGCTGCCAACAGAATACTCTGCCAGTGATCGGGTGGCGGTGCCCTGAGGTCAGGCCAAACTTTTCAGAGGAAACAGCAAACCTCACTCAGATTTAGCCTAAAATATTAAACTCTGAAAAAGCGACGATTCAGGGTCATAGGATCCTTCCCCGGGGGCAGAGCTGGATAGCAAAAAGAAGTTGGGATTTGGAGTCAGGAAAACCAGGGTTCTGTCCTGGCGTGGCCCTTTTCTAAGTGTACCTTGGGCAACTCACCTGACCTCTTGGAGCTTGTCTCTTCATCTTTAATGTGGGGTAATGACAACTCCAACCTCTCAGAGTTGTAATGAAGATTAAATTAGTTCGTTAATGTGAAATGGGCTTCATAGACATAACCCTAATATTAGCCAGGGTCCCATGCAGCCCAGTCTACAGAGGGTTGAAAACAAAGTACAGCCCAGCCACCAAAAAGAGCTAGGAAGGAATTTGGATTCTTACTTATATTTCTCTAAGATCAAAAGGAATCTCCTTAACCATTTCGTGCAGCGACACGGAGGAGGAAGCCTGCATGGCATACACAGGAATGAGGGAATTAGTTTTCTTGGCATAAAGAGTCTACACAGGGGTTGAGTTGAAAATAATGTCAAAGGATTTTTTTAAAAAATTAATTAGATGGGAAAACTGCAACATGGATGAACTTCAAAGCATCATGCTAAGTGAAAGAAGCCAGACACAAAAGACCATATCTTGTAAAATTCCATTTACATGAAATATCCAGAAAAGGCAAATCTAAAGAAAAGGAAAGATCAGTGGTTGCCTAGGGCTGGGTGGGAATGGAGATTGACTATTAACAGGTATAAAAGTTCTTATTGGGGGGATGGAAATGTTCTAAAACTGGATTGTGGTGATGGTTGCATAACTCAGTAAATTTACTACATAACATTGAATTGTATGCTTAAAATAGGTGCATTTTATGGTATGTAAATTATCCCTCAATAAAGTTGTTTTAAAAAGTTAGATGGGGACATTATGCATTTGTCAAAACCCATAGGACTGTACAAGAAAGAGTGAACCTTAATGTAAACTACAGACTTGAGTTAATAATAATATATTACTATTGGTCCATCAACTGTAACAAATGCAGTACACTAGTGCAAGATGTTAATAATAGCAGAAATGGTGTGGGGGGAGAAGGACATATGGGGACTCTACTTTCTCCTCAATTTCTCTGTAAACCTAAAACTGCCCTTAAAAATATTGCATTTTAAAAAAAAAAAAAATGTGTCGAGGCCATGGAAGACAAGGAAAGTCTAAGGACTTATCCAGATAGGAGACAAAGGGGACAGGATGACTGAATGCCAGGTTGGATCCTGGATGGAGTCCTGGACCAGGAAAAGGACATTTGTGGGACAATGGGAGGAATTTGGAAAGTCTGTGGATTAGTTAACAGTATTGTATCAACCCTAACTTCTTGGCTTCAATAACTGTTGTCTAAGATGTTAACATTTGGGGGAGTTGAGAAAAGGATAATTAGCCTTGGTGGTACAGTGGTTAAGCGCTCGGCTGCTAACTGAAAGGTTGGCGGTTCGAACCCACCAGCCACTCCGCAGGAGAAAGATGTAGTGGTCTGCTTCTGTAAAGATTATGGCCTTGGAAACCATATGGGGCAATTCCACTCTGTCCTATGGGGTCACTGTGAGTCAGAATCAACTCAATGGCAACAGGTAAAAGATATACAGAAAATCTCTGCACTGTACTTGCAACTTTTGTTTGAGTGCAAAATTATTTCAAAGTGAAAAGTTAAAAAAAATTAAAAATTGTTTTTAATAAAGCCTAGGAGCACTGTGGTGCAATGGTTAAACGCTCAGCTGCGAACCGAAATACTGAACCCACCAGCCGCTCTGTGGGAGAAAAGACCTACCAATCTGCTCCTGTAAAGATTACAATCAAGGAAACCCTATGGGTCAGTTCTACTCTGTCCTCTAGTGTTGCTGTGAGTTAGAATCAGCTGGATGGCACCCAACAACAAAGGTGCAGCTAGGAAAGTGAATGCAGGGGGATGATTGGCAATGCCCAAGGCAGGGGCTGACGGACACATCACAGCCAGAGGTCCAGATGGCAGAGGGGGATGCCCGGAGCTGCCGTCAGGGCTGGGAAAGACTGGTTCCATCAGATCAGTCATGCAAGCCCTTGCTCGCTCTCACTGTTGGTCTGAACCTTTTCTCCTGGGGAGGGCATTTGCCAGCAATGTGCACAGTCCACGTGGGGCAGCAAGCTGACAAGGCCTGGTGGTGGAGGGAGCCGGGCCCAGAGGGGGCAAGCCCCGCCCAGCCACAGGATGCTGCTGCATGATCTCATTCATTTATAGAGTGGGGCATTGGGTGCGTTCCACACACTCCTTAGCCCTCCACCTATTTGACAAGCCCTGGTTAATTGTCATGTTGTATCCAGCATTGCCAGATGCCAGGACCAGAGCCATGAGCCAGACAGTCAAAGCTACAGCCCCGGTGAGGCGCCCATCTTCACAGGGGATAGACAGGAGACAGGTAAACAGGTAACCATCATGTCAGGTGCGTGCTGTAAGGAAAACAAAAGCAGGGGAAGGGATGAGAGGAATGAGGGTGGTCCAGGAGATGAGGCTGAGCAGAGACGTGAGTGGCATGGGCCAGCCTGAGACACTCTGGGAAGGGCATTACCAGCAGGGGGCGCTCAAAGGCAAAGGCTTTGTGGAGGAACAGTCAGGAGCATCTCGTGGCTTGGGGCAGAGAGAGGGCTGATGGAGTCAGAGGGAGGTGGGGGGCCCAACCCCTAGAGCCGAGGGGTTTTACTTTGGAGTGATGGGAATGATGGAACTAGACAGAGGTGGTGGTGGCCTAACACTGTGAATGTCCTAAACGCCACCGAATTCTTCACTTGAAAATGACTTCTATTACATGAATTTCACCTTAGTAAATTATATATTTAGAAAAAAACCCAAAACCTTAAAAGCTCTTCCTGGTGGGTGAGCACAGGCCACCTCAGAGGGGGAGCTGTCCACAGCTCCAGCATGGCCAGGTGAAACCGTGATAGGGATTTCCAGGTGAAAGCTCCTGATCTGTGGATGCCAGCAACTGACTGAAGGTTTTTTATCAGCGCCGTTTGACCTTTGCCCAAGATGACGCAGCTGCCACCCTCAGCACACGTCCTCTCACCTCTCAGGCTGGGCTGGGGGACAGGATGAGGACCGATGGAAAAGCACATCTGAGCAGAGAGAAAAGCCCCCAGACAAGCACAAAGACAGTGGTGGTTTTGAGAGACATGGGCTGCCGCCCTCTAAAATTCCACGGGCCTCTTTGCCATGTGTAAAATGCTTTCTGGGGGGATTGTAAATGTTTGCCCTGGTGTGACTTTGTTGTAAATGGACTCGGTTTTGTTTAGTTGGTTGAGTTTTTATTTGTTTTAAAAAAAAACAAACCTGCAATACTATCTTAATTGAGAACACGGTGTCAGTCCAGAAAACCCAAGAAAAGGGCAAACAAGATGGATGGAGAATCTGACCGCCCACTGCATGCTGGGTCTGGCCTGAGGCCTCGACTGCAGAGCCCTCCCAGACCATCCCATAGTAATCAGTACCATTTTTCAAGTGCCTGCCATGTGCTGAGCATCCTGGTCAGCTCTTTATGATTTGTTATTTCTAATCCTCCCAACAACTCCATGAGGCAGGAACTTAATGATACCCATTTTACAGACGGGAGGACTGAGGCACAGGGTGGTACAAGCACTTGCCCCAGTCACACGCCTGAAGAGTGTAGTCATGCCTGCCTCTTTCAACTGGATTTCCTGGCTGCTCAGACCTGCTTCACAGAGGAACCTCATAGAAGGGCCTGGTCACTCAGGTTTCTGGGGCAGTGGGTCTTAAACAAGGAGCCCTGGTGGCACAGCAGTTAAGTGCCAGGCTGCTAACCAAAAGCTCAGTGGTTCAAACCCACCAGCTGCTCCGAAGGAGAAAAGACCCGGCAATCAGCTTCTGTAAAGATTTCAGCCCAGGAAACCCTACAGGGCCGTTCTACCCTGTCATATAGGATCACTATGAGTCATAATCGACTCCACAGCAATGGGTTTTTGGTTTTTGCCCTCCACCCCCATCCCAGATCATCTGGCCAAATCAGAGACATTTTCAGTTGTCACATCTAGGAGAGGTGCACTGGCACCTGGGTGGAGGCCAGGGATGCTGTTCAACAGTCCACAACACCCAGAGCGGCCTCCACCACAGAGAATGGCCCAGCCCCAAAGGTCAGCAGTGCCAAGCTTGAGAGACCTGTGTTAACCGTTTGGGATGGAAATCTTTCTGCGGCAGATTGGAGTGTTTGCCAACAACTCTTCTGCCCCAAGGCCCTTGCCTTAAAATGCCAATTCCCAGGCCTGGCCCCACTGCTGAACCCCAATTACGGGGGGTTGTGCCCAGGATTCTTGCTGATGCTGACCAAATTTGAGGGGCAGGGGTGTGCAGGGGATCCTTCTGCCCTTTGAAACACGGGGTTCAAGAGAATCTGAAGGGGGCTTGCTGACTCGGGGCTGTCATCCCAAACACCCATAACTGGAATTCCAGAATCTTACTGCTTCCTGTTTGGCCACCTGGGACCAGTTGAGACAGGAGGCTGAGCAGGTCCCTAGACGGCTTGATAGCCATTACGGCGACTTCAGCAGGGAGTGGCACCTCCAACCGGAGGGGGACAGAAGGGAGGCTGGAGGCAGGGAGTCAGGACTAGAGGCTGCTGAGTGACCACATGAGGTGGGTGTAAGGGACAGCCCTGGTGGCCTGATGGGTATGTGCAAATGCAGAGGAAGGACCCAGGGCCACTGTCCACTAGATACAAAAAACAGTAACAGCAGCAAACACCCATGTGCGCTAACTCTGTGCTGCTCTGTTCTCAGTGCTGTAACTCATTATGCTAACGATTGTAACCCTTTTTATAGATAAGGAAGCTGAGGCACAGAGAGTTAAAGGGACCTGCTCCAGGTCACATAGCTGGTGAGCATGGTGCTGGATCAAGAACAGCAGGTAGGAACCATATGCGGTGGTTTCTGGCTGCACTGATGCTCCCCACGGCTGCTCTCACTCCACTGCGCCCCCCCCATCTAGGGGAGCCCCACTTTCTCCACAACGGTGTCCCAGAGCAGTGGTTCTCAACCTTGAACATGCCCTTCAAACACAGACTGCGGGGCCCAGTCCTCAGTTACTGGTTCAGTAGGTCTGAAGCGGGGCCCAAGAATGTCTGTTTCTAACAAATTCTTGGTGTTGCTATGCAGCTGGTCCAGGAAAATATTTTGAGAGACAAGCTCATTCACACCAAGGTGCCGGCGACTGGTTAACAGCTTAGGTCTCAGGAGCTTACCCTGACGTTTGAGGTTTAGGGCAGGCAGGGAGGGCAGATGTTGAGGGACGGAAACTCTCAGGTCCTGTCCACCATACACGGGAACCTGGAGGACAGGAAGGAGATAGAGGGAGAGCCCCTGCTGCTCCTCTCTGGCCCAGCTAGAGTTGAGCCACTTTAATTAGACACACACGTGGCTGTGTGAAGTGGCCTCCATACTGCATGTCCCTCTCCAAGCCCCACAGAGCTGGAGCTACAATTGCCTCAGTCACTTCAAGTGAAAGCCCTGGGCAAGGGGCTTTGTCCTCTTGGGAGCCTAGCCAATCCCAGGCTCACCCTGACCCCTCGTGCTTCTCTGGAGCCATGCCCCCAATGGATCAGGATCAGACACTTCGGGTGGGGGATTCTCAAGATCTCACGGGGTTGGGCCACTGTCAGCCTTCAAGGCCTCCTAGCAGCAACTGTCCTTTGCACCATGGATGGCTGGGTCTCACCCAGGCAGACAGAGAAAAGCCATTGCAGACCCTCCCAGCCACTCATACCAGGGTGGATTTTCACAACAGATGCCACCCCGCCTCCAAACATGCTCCTTGCCCACCTAAGAAACCTCCAATGATCCATCCAAGAGGGAAATGTCTCTGAAGTCTCTTATTTTCAAGAGGCCTGCTTCATGCCTGCTCTGCTCCTGCGCTTTGGGAGAAATGGCCTGGGAAGTGCATGAGTGTCCTTAGCCCGCCTTTATGAAATCTTGTTTTGATGAGTCTCCACCCCTCCCATCCTGGTGGCCCTCAGCACATGTCAACCCTCAGCGAGCACCTTCTCTGAAACTGATGAACTCTTCTAGCCCCAGCATCGTGTGGTTTAACCAGCTCTAATCCCACCCTGCCTTTAAAGAAATGAGAAATCACACCCACAGTGGGTGTGCAGCATCCACCCCTGCAAACCCTTGCCTGCCTCAGGGCCTTGGCATGTGCTGCTGCCTCTGCCCCCACCACTCATCCCTCTTCACCCCCAGTGGGGCCACTCCTGATGCCTCATTTGCCTATCTGATGTCCCTCTCCTTGCCACTCTACTTTCATAGCACTGACTACAATATATAATTCTATATTTAGTGTATTGTATTTGTGTCTATTGTCTATCTTCCCCTTTGAGGGGAGAGGCCTTGCCAGCACACAGTAGGTGTTCAATAAATATCTGTGGGATGACTGGACAGGTGAGCCCACAGTAAACAAATCTGGTTTTGTGACCTGGGCAGTGTGTGGACATTTGCTGTCTTGTGGTGCCCTCTGGTGGACGTTTCGTAGATGCCAAGCTGAGGGGCAAACCCTTCTCCTCTCCCTGTGGTACTGGTCCCCCAGCCCTATGTGCACCTCGCCATCTCCACCAAGAAGGCGGCCACCATCAGTGACATGTGCAAGTAAATGAAACAGCAATTCTTGGTTCTCATGGAAGGGACCAAGGACACCCCTGGTCCTAAACGGGTCCTGCAGGATCAGGTGAGCCAGAAGTCAGCCGCTGCCATAAAGCCAGCTTTGCCATTACAATTATAGTTATAATAATAATTATTAGATAAATACTATTAAATATAATTATTTAACTATAATTATTATCTAATAATCATTTACTATAATTCACTATTTTCATAATTATAATTGAAAGCTTATGTTAATCATGTTAAACATAATATGGTCACTGTGTGGTAGCTATGTGTCCCTGAGCAACTTCTTTGTGCATCAGTTTCCCCATCTATGAAATGGAGATAATAATGCAGATTAAGTGAGCTTAACAAGAAGTTCCAGGGGAGGCTGACGCTGCTTCGGGGACCTTTCCCCCTTGCCAAGAACCCTGATGGGTGATGTGCCACCTCCTTTAGCCCCTATCAGTGAGGGTGAGACCCACCACCCACCCCTGTCCTGCTGACCAATTTGAGAACCCACACCAAGACTCAGATAATCAGAGAGGGTCACACAGCCCTGCTTTTGCAGGTCCATCAGCATATCTTTAGAAGTTTCCAGATCATTGCAGCAAGGGGTAGAGTGGCTCAGTAGTTAAGAACATAGGTACAAGTTGAATAGATGTGCCTTGGGGTCCTGGTTCCAGCCAGTACACAGTGATATTACTAATGCAAATGGGGTTACTAAGACCCACATCACAAGGTTGCTGGGAAGGTTCAGTACCGGCACGTAGCAGGCCCTCAACAGACGGTGGTGATGACGATAGCAGGCACCCACAGGGCTCCTTCCAA